TAAATGTTTATGAAAATTAATAAAATATAGTTATAGGAAAAAAAAACAAAAAAAAACAAAGGCATGGTTCAGATCCACCTGTTGGAGAGAAGGATGAGCATTCCCCTCCTCTCTAATTTACTGCCTCTGAAAATCGCCTGGAGTGTCAACTATGGGTCAGTTCTGACTCGACAGCATAACAGCAGCATAGTAGTTAATGCTTTGTATGAAGATGCGTAAATACAAATGAAATCTCATTTCTTGGATATAGTTTTGAAGAACTGAAAGCTGAATTTAATCTATAAAGATCAAATGAAACTTTTTTAAAAATGAAGGTATTCTACTGGTAAGGAGTTATACTGCTACCTGAAAGCATGCAGTTGCACTCTGCCATCTGCTCTTTGCGAAAAAGATGGACAGTGTCTTCCCGTGTGATTTATTGCCTCTGAAAACCCCTTGGATTGGTTTGAGTTGAGGGTACTCAGCAACAGTAAGTAGGTGCAAGAGGTTTTTGTTAAGTAAACTTTCCCTTCTCCTGCTTGAAAGAATTAAGCAAGTACTGACTTTATTTTAAAATAACTGTCAAGCCTGGTGCTGTGGATTTGATTTCAAGTCATAGAATCCCTCCCTGCACTAGACTTCGGAGCCTGTAAATATTTATGAGGTGGGGGGAGGCTTTGCTGGATTAGAAATGATGCCTTTTGCACAACGTGCAATGCAGCATGCCACGGGAGCTCTTTAACAAATTGTGTTCTAATAAAATAGAAAAAATTGTTCACATTTTGGTGCAAATACAGATACCTACTATAACATTTAAATTGTTAGAATAGCTTGTATTTGCTACTGCACAGGCTTTTCAGTCGTTAATGGGATTATTTAAACCCTAATGTTAGAGGGCCTTATTCGAGATCTGTGTCTCTCTCTGACTAAGTACACTTCCTTGTACATTTCCACTGGTTCAACCTTTATAAAGAGAGTTCTTCAAGCTGTAATTTCTTCCAAAGACACTGTTTGACTCCCACTGGCCTCCCTTCAAAAAGAATTTTTGCATGGGCTGCATTTTAAATTATCTCCTTTTTTCTTTTTGTATTTTTAGAAAATTAACATTTAGAAATAGCAACTTCAGTCTCAAACTGCTCTTCTGTGAGTCTTTATTTTTATACTGGAAAGAATAATTAGTAATTGTCTTGAAAGTGAATATACTTGATTTCCAATATCAAATACATTGATCTTTGGTATTACCTCTCTTTGAACCTACTATACTTTTAATAGAAAGAAGATATGATTTACTGGAAAATTTCTTCTCCAAGTGTAGTTACCTAACTAAGTCATAATTTATGATAGTATTTGTATATCTAATCTAATGTACCAGGAGGCAGTCGTCAGAACAGAGCAAGGGAACACTGCATGGTTCAAAATTGGGAAGGGCGTACGCCAGGGATGCATCCTATCTCCATACCTTTTCAACCTGTATGCAGAACAGATTATCCGGGAGGCTGGGCTCTATGAGGAGAAATGTGGGTTCAAGATTGGTGGACAGTTTATCAACAATCTGCGTTATGCGAATGACACAACCCTGCTTGCTGAAACTGAAGAGGACCTGAAGCACCTGCTGCAGAGGGTCAAGGACTGCAGCCTCCAATATGGATTGAGGCTCAATGTCAAGAAGAAAAAGATTCTCACCACTGGATCAATTGGCAGCATCAGGATGTATGGTAAAGAGATTGAGATTGTACACAGCTTTAGTTTGCTTGGCTCCACAGTCAACAATCTTGGCACCAGCAGCCAGGAAATTAAAAGGCGCATTGCCATGGGAAAGTCTGCTGTTAGGGACCTCTCCAAAGTACTGAAGAGCAGTGGTGTCTCTCTGGAGACTACGGTGTGTCTGATACAGGCCATGGTCTTCGCAATCACTTGTTATGCATCTGAGAGTTGGACAATGACCAGGGAGGATAGAAGGAGAATTGATGCCTTTGAGCTGTGGTGCTGGAGAAGAGTATTGAGAATACCATGGACTGCTAGGAAAACAAACAGATTTGTCCTGGAAAGGGTTAAACCGGGTGGCTCCTTGGAGGCAAGGATTCTGAGGCTCCGTCTAACATACTTTGGACATGTTGTGAGGAGAGACTGGTCCCTGGAGAAGGACATCATGCTTGGGAGGATGGAGGGACAGCGCAGGAGAGGAAGGCTCTCTATGAGGTGGATTGATTCAGTGACTGGGATAATTGGGATGGGAGTGTCAGAGACAGTGCGATTGGCACAGGACAGAGCGGAGTTTAGGGCTGTTGTACATAGGGTCACTATGAGTCTCAAGCGACTCGACGGCACATAACAACAAAAACAACAACAATCTAATGTATGACCCTTGAATGTTTAAATTTGCAGAATTAATTATCTAAAACATAAATAAACTTACTGTTCCAGGCATTGTACCAAATTATGCCTTTACAGACTTTAAATCATACATTGCTCATACTAACCCTGTCTCCAAAACCTTGAATGATTATATCCAACTATGACATAGCCATTGTATATTGTTAACTACAAGGCTGTGTTTCTCTAAAGTTCAAATCCACTGTTTGCTTCATGGGACAAAGTTGGGGCTGTCCTTTCCCATTATAATTGACAGTTTTGAAAAGCTAATCAGAGGTTGCTGTGATTTGGAGTCTGTTCCATGGAAGGGAGTTACTGAATTGATACTGTCTTTCAGAAAGGCATGCTGGTTGGAATAAATTTAACATAGTAAAATCTTATCTTGATCAGTACTAGTGTTTCTTGCCAGTTTTAGAATTGCTTTTTTATGGAAAGTGAGGTATTGTGTTTTGTCAAAACTAGTGAGATAGATAGACATCATTCTAATTTTACCATTGGAGGTTGGAAGACTTAAGATTAATATGCTTATGTTAAATGGTGGAACTGGGATTTGCCTTCCGGTGTGACAGCTCCGAAACCATGCTCTTTATGGCACATAGATAGCTCTCTGGATGAGTTCGTGTTTGTTTTTTTGGTGGGTTCCCTTCCTTTTCACTTTTATAAGAATTTACTCAGAAGGATGGCCTTTATTTAAACACATAGAATAAAGATATGTTTATTTATGAAAAATAATTTTAGGGCAGAGCTTGTAAAGAGCGCTTAGAACAGTAAATTAGAGTTTGCTTAAAAGAATACAAGTCCCAGAAACCAGGTTAAATTAATTGCTTATCTGGTTTCTCCAGTGCATGAGTTTTCCATCTTCTTTCTGCTTTCTCTTCTATAATAGGAAAATGATGATAACTGACATTCACAATAGGAATATTTTTAGGATGAGTCATATTTGTTTTAAATATGTATATGAAGTGCCTTGAAATTCTTAAGACTAACCAGGATAATTTTTATTAATTAGGCAGTTGCTTTAAGGGACCTAAGGAGTAAATGGAAACAAGTTCTATGAGATTTATAAAACAGTCATTTGTATTATCTAGAAAGTGATTGCAATTTATCCTAATTTCAGTTTGACAATATCTACATGTTCTTTTAAATTTCTTGCTGAGATGGTGAGTTTTTAGTTTTGCTATTTTTAAAAATGGACAGCTTTTGTTTACAAACAAGTTTTAGTGCTCAGGGTGAGCCGCAGCCACCTGCCTGTCAGGGAACCCTTAGGACCCACTGTCCAGAGAAGTCTGGAAAGCAGGCATCTCGGTGTGGTCTTGTGTGTAAAGAAGGAGGACTGCCCATTTCTACAGGGTTAAGAACTGAGTGGGCTTCATATCAGGGGATCTTGTCACTCTCTTTGCTCCTACAGAATTACAGCTTTTAGTTATTTGAAATTAATTTATTAGGCAGTACTGTTTTGAACTCTGGTAGCCTAGTAGTCTTCACGAGGTGGGCTGCTGACCTGAAGGCACGCAGCTGCTCTGGCAGAAAGATGGGCATTCTCCTCTTGTGCAGTTTACTGCCTCGGAAAACCCACTAGAGGGTCAGCTATGGGTCATTTCCAACTCTATGGTACTTAACAGCAACAACAACAACCATGTGATAAAACATGTAAAAAATTACAAAGCCAAATAGAAAATCCTTTTTGTATTACCACTACTGATTTCTTCTTGTCCCTTGCTGATTCTCTCTTCTGCATCACATTAATGTGAATCATTGAAGGCTGGATACTACAATTCTCAGAATAAAGTTTTCTGAGGAGAACTAAAGCATCTGATCAAATTTTATGTTCATGATTTCTGTTCTGCAGCCAGTGTTACTCACTCAAGCTTTATTAAACCTCTCTTCCTTATTTGCATATAAAACTCAAGGCCCTCACTCACTATATGCCTTTGTTTCCAAATTTTATTTGGTTTAGTGGATTGTCTACCTAAAGCAACACAATTCTCAACATATGAGTGGCCAGCTTAGAAAATTCAAAGTCTATAAAAGTATGAATTCCTTTTTTAAAATTCCTTTTTTAATAAGGCGATTTGCTAAACTTTATAAAAATAGGATTTTGAAATTAAACAATACCTTAATCTCTAAATTGCTGAAGTTAGATTTTTATTGAGTTGTCTACAATACATAATGTATGCTTATTCATTTCACTTTTGGTATAGTACAGAGTCTGCTATTATTTTGCCATTTGGTGTTTTTTGTCAACAGGAAGAAGGTAGATAATGACTATAATGCCCTTCAAGAAAGACTCAAGACATTGCCTGATAAGTTGTCTTATAATATCATGGTATGTTTGTTGTGTTTCTTTTACAGTAGTGTGCTTGACGTATCAGCGGTAACTACAGTCATGAGGAAGATTATTTGGTGTTATTTTATGTCAGTAACACTAATTGTAGTAGTAGCTGATACTTATTTTCCTTTATTCATATTTGTTTTTCACATTATGGTGACAAATGATAAATGTTAGCAAAAAATTTGACATCTTTGGTATACAGTTCTGTAATATAGGAAAAACTACAATTAGGACGGGCATATAGTGCTTGTTCATTTCCTTTTAAAGCCAGAGTAGGAATAAGCTACAATGTTTTCTAATAGTTTCCAAAGTCACACACTAGGGCATTTATTTTTATATAAAAAATGTTGCTCATTTTTTTTTCAACAATATACATGTTAACATAATGATATCTTGGTGTGTCCTGGGGTAGAATCTTGCATTACATGGATATTCTTTTTCACAAAGACGTTAATATTTTTATACTATCCCAAATGTTTAGGAAATATAACTCCTTTAGGTAGATTCATTAAAGGTATTGGTTTGTTATCTCTTGCTTTGTAAAAATGATTATTGTATTTGAAGTAACTTTTTAGTTTTCTTTACTAAACTATGCTATATTAACTTCATATTTCAGTGCTAGTTGCTTTCATTTAAATTTATGAATAAACCAAAGCCATAAATATTCAGAGGCAATACTACTTTCTCTAAAAAAGCTAAATGTAAATATAGTGGTGATTTCTTTTTCGGTTTTCACACTGATTCTTAAACTCATTTCTGTAGGTTTTCATAGTGAACTTTTAATACAATGTCCAGGTTCTGTAGTGTTGACGTGTTCTTTTTCAGCATATAGATAAAGACCACAATAACTTAGAGCTTCTTATGCTGTTTCTAGACAGTGTGGTTTTTAATTTATTTTCTCCCTTTTTTTTTTTAACCTACAGGTGCCATTTGGTCCTTTTGCGTTCATGCCAGGAAAACTTGTGCACACTAACGAAGTCACTGTCCTACTTGGGGACAACTGGTTTGCAAAGTGCTCAGCAAAGCAGGCTGTAGGATTGGTTGAGCACAGGAAAGAACGTATGTACTGATTATAAGTGATGCTTCTTTGCTCCATGTGTATTGGTTCACAGATTGCATATTGATAGACTGTTATCAGAAGTACCTTTTATGAGTAATTAATTAGTCCAGACTTGGACAAAAAGACTTGTGGAGAGCCAGCCAACGAGAGGGAGACTCTCAACAAGATAGACTGACACAGTGACTGCAACAATGGGCATGAGCCTGGTGGTGACCTTAAGAATGGTGCCGGACAGGGCACGGTTTTGATCTCTTGTTCAGGGTGTTTCTATGAGTGGACTTGACACGTCAGCACTTAACCACCTCCATCAATAGTATGCGAGGTGGTTTGAGTAGAATTAAAGCTCATGGATAAATTTGAGACTACAACATTTGGACTGCAAATACCACCTATGTGTTTTCAGGAATGACAAAGAGCAAAATTATTTTCACCCAATTTTTTTGGCTAGAAGTTGAGAAGGTATGAGTTTGGTTGTAATTTTTATTTATTTCATTTCATAGACTTTTGTGTTTAATGCTTAAGCACCTAGCAATAACTTACTTTATGCTTAGTAACTTAGAAGAAGACTTATTTGCTTCAGTAGAAAGAATTTTTCTGCATACTTTTTGGTTTGAATAAAAGTGTATTTTGATTTTTATACAAGGGACCAGATGTGTAAAATAGATGGTAACTAAAATGGTGCCCCTTTTTTGTTAAGAGCTTTCAAGTACATTTTGTTACGGTAGTTCTGTAGTTTGTTAGTTTAAAACATACACATATACATGTACACACCACCACTCTCACACTTACTTTTTTTGTTGTTATATGCTTGACTTTGTTCTAGGTTAATTGAATTAACTTTTAAATTGAATTTACTTAATTTTTAATCTGTGTACTTATTTCCGTAATACCATATTTAAATTGATAGAATCGTACCTGTGTCTGTTTTTTAGCCTCCTGGTTAAATATCTTTGAAAATGTATTTTGTGAGAGTTCTCTGTAAATGAGTTCATACTACATAGAAAATAACTAAATTTCTAAAGCCAAAATTATTTCACTTATATATGTGTGAGTACTAGTTAAAGAACTCATTTATTCAGTGAATTTCTGGAAACCATATTTGGAGGCTCTAATTGCAAATCAACTCCTATAAGTTTATAATTGATATATATTTTGCTCTTTTGTGACATCATTCTGAATCATATTGTTAGACCTGTATATATTTCTGGTGATTATAATTCTTTTGGTGTTACTACATTAAAATAGGTCATGCACTTTAAGGGATAAAGAATGGACGTACTTTATTAAAAGCCTTAAAAAATTTTTTTTTATTATTAATTTCAGTGAAAATTTACAGAGACTTTGGATTTTCATTCATTCATTGTTGCAATTTTCTCCCTGCCCCCGCCTCAGTACAATCTTCTTTTTGAAAAGTAAAAGAAAAATTCTTTCATTGTTTTACAATCCTTCCCTCTAGGTCCACTCCACTATACAGCCTTCGTTTTGCACTCCTGTCATGACAAAAGTACCAAATCACATAACCCTTTTAAACAGTTTTCTCCCTCATCTGTTTCAATTCAGTATACATTATTTATCCCTTCTTTCTCAGACTCCTCCCCAACCCTGATGTCAGTCCTGTTTTAAAACAGTGGCACCATGCAGTGTTTGTCCTTTTGTAACTGAGATATTTCACTCAGCATAATGTCCTCCAGGGATTAAAAGCCTTTCTAATGGGGAAGGATTTTTTCGATTAATAGGGTGACTTTGCTAGTATAAAACTAGTTCAGAGTCTGTTGAAGTTTAGACATTTTTATTTTCACATGGATATTTCCATGAAGAAATTTTTATGGTCATTTTGATAATTTAATATATTAATGGGGGAATTCTTTTACTAGATTGCAATAGAGGTATGTTGTTGTTGTTATGTGCCGTCGAGTCGTTTGTGACTCATAGCGACCCTATGCACAACAGCCCTAAATCCTGCTCTATCCTGCGCCAACCGCACTGCCTCTGACACACCCATCCCGATTACCCCAGTCACCGAATCAATCCATCTCATAGAGGGTCTTCCCCTCCTGCGCCGTCCCTCCACCCTCCCAAGCATGATGTCCCTCTCCAAGGACCCATCCCTCCTGGCAACATGTCCAAAGTATGTCAGACGAAGCCCCAGAATCCTTGCCTCCATGGAGTAGCTTGGTTTAATCCTCTCCAAGATGAATCTGTTTGTTTTCCTGGCAGTCCATGGTACATTCAGTACTCTTCTCCAGCACCACAGCTCAAAAGCATCCACTCTCTTTCTGTCCTCCCTAGTCATTGTCCAACTCTCTGATGCATAACAAGCAATTGCAAACACTATGGCCTGTATCAGGCGCACCTTAGTCTCCAGAGAGACACTGTTACTCTTGAGTACTTTAGAGAGGTCCCTAACAGCAGACTTTCCCATCGTGATACGCTTTTTGATTTCCTGACTGCTGGTGCCAAGAGTGTTGACTGTGGAGCCGAGCAAACTGAAGCTGTGAACAATCTCAATCTCTTCGTCATCCATCCTGACGCTGCCAGTTGGTCCAGTGGTGAGAATCTTTGTCTTCTTGACATTGAGCCTCAGTCCATACTGAAGGCTGCAGTCCTTGACCCTTCGCAGCAAGTGCGTGAGGTCCTCCTCAGTTTCAGCAAGCAGGGTTGTGTCATCTGCATAACGCAGATTGTTAATAGATCTTCCACCAATCCTGATGCCACAATTCTCCTCATAGAGCCCAGCCTCTTGGATAATCTGCTCTGCATACATGTTGAAAAGGTATGGAGACAGGATGCATCCCTGGCGCACACCCTTCCCAGTTTTGAACCATGCAGTGTTACCCTGCTCTGTTCTGACTACTGCCTCTTCGTCCAAGTATAGGTTTTGCATTAGCACAGTTAAATGTTCTGGGATTCCCATTCTTCTCAGAGTCAGCCACAGTTTGTTCTGATCCACACAGTCAAATGCTTTTGCATAATCAATGAAACACAGATAGACATTCTTCTGGTATTCTCTGCTTTCAGCCAAGATCCATCTAATATCAGCAACAATATCCCTAGTACCACGACCCCTTCTAAACCCAGCCTGGACTTCTGGCAGTTCTCTGCTGATGTGCTGTTCTAATCGTTTTTGGATAATGTTCAGTAGAATCTTGCTTGCATGTGAAATCAATGACACTGTTCTGTAGTTTCCACACTCACTTGGGTCACCTTTCTTTGGAATGGGAACAAATATAGATCTCTTCCAGTCAGTTGGCCAAGTGGTTGTTCTCCAGATTTCTTGGCACAACTTGGTGAGCACATCCAGGGCAACATCTGTTATCTGGAATACTTCAATTGGTATACCATCTATTCCTGGGGCCTTATTTTTTGCTATTTCCTTCAAAGCAGCTCTTGCTCATATGTTATTTCTTTAAATTCCTCTGTATCTGCCAATTCCTTTCTATATAGTGACTCAGTATATTCATTCCTTCCATCTTTTAATATTTCCTGCATCGTTTAATATTCTGCCCAAAGCATCCTTGATTACAGCAACTCTAGGTTTGAGTTTGTTCTAGAGAAATAGTGAAATATTTTTTTAAATCACTTTCCAGTAGTTAAATAATGGTTTACAAATGGCCAAACATGACTTTGGAGATTAATATTTGTTTGAAGTAGTTTAAAAGCCATACTTCTATACAAAAAATTTACTGTATATTAGGTAAGTTCTAAAAACTTCTTTTATTTACATTATTTTAATTTACAACAAATAATTTAGACATGTATAAATATATCCTATTTATTAAGAAAAGATAACTCTGTTTTTCTTAATGTGGAAGAAATGTTAGCATGTGTTAAAGGAGCAGACACAGCATGGGTGGCCCAGTCTGACTTATGCCTGCTTCATAAAGGGGAAATTTATAATATCCATAGTACCAAACAAATAGCTCTATGGTCAGACATTGCACCCCACATCCTCCTGCACCTGTTTCTGCCAATCATTGAGTCTAATGTTTGTTGCAACTTGACTCACAGACTTGACTCACAATTGTGGGGTTTATTGGGAAAATAGGTTGGGGCATGTGAGAGGCAAAGACTGTCACACAATGCAAGGCCAGGTTTAGTCCAGCATTCTCAGGCCAGATTAACCAGGCACAATTCTTCAATTTGGGAAAGTCCAGGTTCTGTTCATCACACAAATGCACCTCTGGTTTACTTAACCACAAACTTTATCTCAGAGCGGTTACAAGTCAGCTTTTCCTTCAGTTGTTCAATAAGTAAAATGTTTAACTGTAGCTCCATCTCCAGAGTTCTTCTGGTTACACCTTGCCACAGTCTCTTCACAGTAGTGCCACAGTCTCTCCCACCCTTTCTTTACCACTGTCTTTGACAGTGTGGAAAGCACTCTCTTATTGGTCCCATAGCTTTTGATGATTTGCAAGATCATGTGTCCACTGTTAAGGTAGCTAGAGACCTTACCTCCACAGTGAGGTAACACAAAAATGGAAAGCCAGTTTTCAAGATTTCTGGTACCACAGAATGTTAAACATTCTGTCGACTGGAGTAATTGTGGAAGGGAGAAGATAGTAATTATCTTTTTTAAATAGGGGAGAAAAAGAGATTTAAACCTTTTCTCTACAAAATTGGCATATTCAGAGGAGGGATCTATGAAGTCAGAGGGAGATGATTTCCAGTGAACAAGGCACATTCATTTGTCTCTACCCTTTGTGCTTACATCTTGTGTTTTTGCCAGTGTGACCAGCACTTTGAATTTTTAAAAGTTTAAGTATTATAATAGAATAAAATTAACTTTTTCTCATGTACAGCTTTTAAAAAAACACATATATGGTTATATTTAACTAATATCACAATCAAATAACAGTTTTACCATTCCTAAACTCCCACATGTGTGTTGCCTCTTTGTAGTTTACACCCTAAAAAACTACTGAGCTCTTCTCCATGACTGTAATTTTGACTTTTCCAGAAGGTAGTGTATATGAACTTAGAGAGTATGTACTCTTTTGAA